GCTGCCTCCTGCACGCCCCCCACTGGGGAGATGGAGCCTAACCCGGGCAGGTGCCCTGACCGGGAATCAAACCTGGGACCTCCTGGTTCACAGGTCAATGCTCAACCACTGAGCCACACTGGCCATGCCATCATGTTTTGACCCACACGACCTCTGGGTTGTCCGCGTATAAGCGAGCAAAACAGGGCCAAGGAACGTGAGACTGAAATTCAAGGGCACACGACCCAGGACAGGCAGGGGGTCCCTGAGAAGGGAGATGTCTCAAGCAAGGCTATCGGCCCGGCCGGCGTGGCTCAGTGGCTGAGCGTCGACCTATGAACCAGGAGGTCAAGGTTCGATTCCCGGTCAGGGCACAGGCCCGGGTTGCGGGCTCGATCCCCGGGGGGGGCGTGCAGGAGGCAGCCGGTCCATGATTCTCTCTCATCATTGATGTTTCTCTCTCTCTCCCTCTCCCTTCCTTTCTGAAATCAATACAAATATTTTATAAAGAAGAAGAAGAGCCTGACCAGTTTGGCTCAGTGGATAGAGCGTTGGCCTGTGGACTGAAAGGTCCCGGGTTCGATTCCGGTCAAGGGCATGTACCTGGGTTGCGGGCACATCCCCAGTGGGGGGCGTGCAGGAGGCAGCTGATCGATGTTTCTCTCTCATCGATGTTTCTGACTCTCTATCTCTCTCCCTTCCTCTCTGTGGAGAATCAATAAAATATATTTTTTTTAAAAAAAGAAGAAGAAGAAGAAAGTGGACGCTTGAAAATGGACGGCTCTCGGCCTTTGCGCCTGCGGGTCCCTGAGGCCTGGACTCCCTGAGCTGCCCTGAGCTCTCCTGCGACGCCCCAGCTCCGCTGGTTAGAATGCGTGTCTTCACGCTTGCGCCGAGGCCTGGGCTTTGTCCACCCCCCTGGGCAGTTTCACGGACACTCAGAGGGAGAGATGGACCCAGGACGGCCAGGTTTTGCTGGAACGAAGTGGCTGATGCGCCCTCAGAGCAGGTTGCAGGGGAAGGCTGGAGGCGCAGCCCTCCACCCTCGCCGGGCACCTGGGAGCCGGGCTCCAGCGGGAACGGTGTGTGAACCCCACATCCGACCCCGCCAGAAGGCACCCGGCTCCCTTCCGTCATTACGCACGCTTTATGGGCCGGGAGCCAGCCTGGGAATAAAATATTTTAAATTAGGTTTCCCGCTAGCTGCTCGCTCTAACAGCGCCGAGGCCGCCAGGG